GATGGATGGGTAGATGATAGATGGATGGATGGGTGGATGGGTAGATGATAGATGGATGGATGGATGGATGGATTCCTTTCCCTAGTGTGTTGTCTCAGAGGCATTTGGGGACATCCTGCCTTTGAAAACACTTCCCTTTGTTCAAGTCTCTCTGAAACCCCCTACACTATTTCTGAGGAGTGGGGGGGGGCACGGGTAGGGGAGTGGAGAGTGGTGAAGTCTACCAAAGATGAAGTCGGGGTAGGTAGTAGAAGTCCCCCTCTAAGTGGCTCCTATAGACACAGATTTGGTCCTGGAGCGCCATCTTGTGGCTGACTCTGGAATTCAGTTTCTTGCTCCTGAGGCAGAGAACTTTGTAAATAATTGTCCCCCCGCCCCCCCCCCCCCCCCACCGCCCACTGCTTGACTCTGGTTAGGCTCCTGCCGGTGATGATGTGTGGGCATCTCTGGTGGCTGGACACTCTGGTGGGCTGTGACCACTTTGGGTTTATGGTATGAGGGATCCCAGAGCCCTTGCACAAGCTAGGCACACACTATATCACTGAGGCACAGTGCCAGCCTGACACTAGTGACTATCTCACCGATGACCTTTCAGCCTCCCCAGGGCTCTGGGTGTGCTGCTGCGTACAGCTGCTTCTATGGTTTAGAGAGAAATACCTCATCCAAGGTATATTTGGAACTGGGCGTGGTGCTACCTGCCTGTCATCCCAACAATGGGGAGGTGGGATTAGGAAGATCAAGAGTTCAAAGTCATCCTCCGATTCAGACCTAGTTTGAGGCCAGCCTGGGCTACCTGAGACCCTATTTAAAAAAAAAAAAAAAGAAAGGAAAAAGAAAAAAAATGTTATTGGTTTGTCTGTGGAGAACCAGCCTTGAACCCTTGCTTGGAACACACTCCTGCCCGCCCCACCCCACCCCAGCCTCCCAGGGTTGACTGCACCTCACTTGGCACCTGTGTTCAGTTCCAGGGCTCTGGAGGTCACGGGCACAATGCTTTGGGTCCTGGTGGGGGCCGTCCTCCCTGTCCTGTTGCTGGCCGCCCCACCACCCATCAACAAGCTGGCCCTATTTCCGGACAAGAGTGCCTGGTGTGAGGCCAAGAACATCACGCAGATTGTGGGCCACAGCGGCTGTGAGGCCAAGTCCATACAGAACAGGTGGGATTCTGGGGGAGGCAGAGGGTAAGGACAGGGATCCAGGGAGGGGGTCAAGGGTGCCTGTCCCTGCCTCCCCCCCGAGAGATCCCCCCATCAGTGACGTCTCCTCCCACAGGGCGTGCCTGGGACAATGCTTCAGTTACAGCGTCCCCAACACCTTTCCGCAGTCCACAGAGTCCCTGGTGCACTGTGACTCCTGCATGCCCGCCCAGTCCATGTGGGAGATTGTGAGTATGGCCGCCCCACCCCTGAGCTGCAGCAGGAGGCCAGCTTGGATGCTCACCGAGGCCTCGTTATGTGTGTGGGCTGTACATGGGGTCCACGCTCCTCGGACACGGCAGCCCTTCCGCCTTCTCTCACTGTCACAGGCTAACACCCTGCTCTGCCGGACGCAGGCCTGCTGGTCCGGCTCAGCCGTCTCCCTACACCGTCTTAAACCCTCCCTCCTTCCTCAGTAACCTGATGACACTTTACCACCAGCCTCGTCAGCCCTTCCTACTTGTTCTGTTCCTTTCCGCCCCAGGATCTTTGCATGTGCTCACTGCTTTGCTCTAAGCCTTCCCTGCCCCCTCCTCCCCCACTTCCTCAGCTAGTTCTTTTCCTAGTTCTTTAGCTCTTGGCTCAAGCGTTTTCCTTGAGGGTATTGTTTCAGACCCTTTGACCCAATTAAAAGCCCTAAGCACCGTGCACCTCTGCTTTGGGTACTGTCACACCTACAGCTTTTCCAACATCAGAGTGATTAGGGCAACTAAGTTACCTTCCTTGAAGGACCTTGTGTACATCTGTGCCCCAGAGCTGTCATGGAGTAGAAAGAAGGGGGATAGGAGGGAGGGAGGGAGGGAGGAGGGGACGGGAGGAAGGCCAGCTAGAAGCATGACTAGAAAGCAAGAGTACGTTGCTGTAGAATGAACTTTGCTGCGTTGGGGGCCTGGGATGGAGCTTTGACACAAAGGTTGCCCACTGAGACCAGCGGGAGGGTGGGTTGGTGGGCCAGAACCTTCCAGGCAGAGGAAAGACATTAGCAAAGGCTTTGGGGTCAGGTCAGGCAGTGAGAGTTGGCGATAGAACAGCAGGGTCTGGCATGGTGAGGTCAGCCAGGGCCAGCCTGAAGGTCCTGAAGACCCGAGGAAGGGGTCAGGATTTGTCTCCAAGTTCATTGGGATCACAGTTGGGGGGGGTTCTAAACAGGGATTTGCCCTTACCCCCTTTCCTGGGGGAATGGGTAGGAGGAGCAGGGCTGAGACAGTGAGATTGGTCTCCTGTAGCCCTCCCTCCATGGGTCCACAGAACTCAGGTGGACCCTTGGATTCCTGGTCCCCGAAGATATGTTATTATTGGGGTCTCCCCACTTGTCCAAGCCTCAGGAAACATCCCTTCCCTTCTTCCTCCCCCACCCAGGTGACCCTGGAGTGCCCCGGCCATGAGGAGGTGCCCAGGGTGGATAAGCTGGTGGAGAAGATTGTACATTGCAGCTGTCAGGCCTGCGGCAAGGAGCCCAGTCACGAGGGCCTGAGTGTCTACGTGCAGGGCGAAGACGGGCCGGGTGCCCAGTCGGGACCCCACCCCCACCCCCATCTGGGTGGCCAGACCCCTGAGCCTGAAGAACCTCCCGGAGCCCCCCAGGTGGAGGAAGAAGGGGCTGAGGACTGAGGGCCCCCAACTCTTCCTCCCCTCTTGTCCCCTGTGGAATGTTGGGTCCCACCCTCCAGGGAAGAGGAAGGGGAGAGGCGGAAGCCCCCCCCACCCCTTTGGCACTGGATGGACTTGGAATGCTGCCCGGTTGCCATGGAGATCTGAAGGGAGGGGCTGGAGCCAAGCTGCACGATTTAATATATGCAAGATGGAGAGGGGTGGGGGGAGGAGGCAGTCATCCTCGGGACTTTTTCTTTGGAAGGTGAAGTGTGGTCTTTCCTTTCTGCCTGCTAGAGAGGAGCCCTTGGGATGGAGAAGAAGTGGGCTGGGCTGCTGTGGATGCGTGAGACCCTCATAGAGGGCAGGCCCAGGCCAGGACCCACACAACTGATGGGGCAGGATCCCTAGGGATGGGTAGAGGGTGGGTACCAGACAGCATCCTCCTTGCAGGAGGGTTTGGTCTGGGGAGACTGCTGGCGGAAGCCGGAAGCTCCAGCCTCACAGGTTTCTCTAAGGGCCTCCCTCACTCCCCACCTCCAGGGAAGCAACTCCTTAAATGGGGCAGCGTAGGAGTCAGGCTGGGGCAGGGCCCTGCTGGCTATCACTGAAGAAAGAACATCCCTCCTGCCTCTAGAAGCAGGGATCTTTGCTCTCTGCTCCTCATGTCCTAGAGCCTTCGGGAAGCAGCCTCAGCCAGCCCCGCTGTCTCTGGGGCGGGTCTTTCTGAATGAGGTGATGGTTTATTTCCGTCACCTGGGACCATAGTGGACAGGAGGCCCCTGCATAGGGCCCCTGCTGATCTTCTCGGCTTTCTCTAGCTCCCTATTCTACCCGCTCCTCCTTCCCAGCTGCACTTTAACCCTAGGGCGGAGCAGGTGGTGAGGAAGGGCCCTCTGTCCCCTTATCGGGGGACAGGCTGGCATCTTTGTGTCCAGGGGGTTGCCAGCTCACCCCCTGCCCAGGGGTGACCCAGCCCGTGGATGTCTGACGAGAGCCTTAGAGCTTGTAACCTGTAGCCATTTCCCCGAACCCCAGTGTTCTCATGAATAAATGCCTTCAGTGCCTATCCTGTTTCCTGTGGACTGGCGCTGTTGATCCAGGTGGGTTGTGGGCCAGGGGATGGGGGTTGGTCTGGCAGTGTAGGGCTGACCTTCAGTATCCCTGTAGTTCCTCCTCCGGGAGAAGTTGAAGTTGTCCTCTCACTTCCCTGCCTTGGCACCACCTCTGGCTCATGTGTTCTCTTGGGCTTGGGTGTGTACTTCTGCCTTGCTTACATGTGGCTGGGCCTAGACAACTAGATCTGGATGCTTGATCCTTTGAGATCTCTTGCCGTCTCTACTCTCAATGACCCAACATGTACATGATCCAGCATGGTACATGTCGCCAGCCTGGTCTAAGCCCCGGAAGATGATGAAACAGATGAACTCCCAAATCGAAGGTTACAAATGAATATAAGGCTGGGCCCTGGACTAGGCCATTTGCATAGTCATCTTGCCTTACCCTCCGTCCCATTTGAATCTTCTCATTTTTTTTTTTTTTTTTTTAATGCTTCTTAGGTGCAGAGAAGTTAGTCATCTCTCCGGGGCCATCTTGTTAAATTGCCACCAAGAATCAAACCCAGACAACCCGGGCCAGAATCCATGCCAAGTTTGATGGCGTGAGCATTCATCAGCCTGTGGCGGGGGGCATTTTCTCTTCAGAGTGGGCCACTTACACTACGGTTGTCTACCAGGCAGATCTCCTGATATTATTTCAACAAGGCAGAAAAAACAAAAACAAAAACAAAACAAAACACAAAAAACAACCTGGCAATGAATGTGTTCCTAGAGGTGCCTGGCACTGTACCTCTGAAGCCCCGTGCCCCAGGCCTGAGAGCTATCTTTCTGTAGGTAGCTTCTTAGCTTGTGGACACAAAATTCAGGGAGGCGCTGGATAGACGTAAAGTGGAAAGATGGCGGACAGGCTTCCGGAAGGCCCTGAATGGCAGCTAGAGGCGGAAGCATGGGATTTGCCGAGCTGGGTGTCAGAGAGAGTTAGGTGAGTGGAGACCGAGTGCTGGCGTTTTCTAGGAACAGTGATATTATATTGGAGAGGCCAGCCCCTGAGAGAGGTAGGGACCCCAGAAGAGCAGCGTCTGGCGGGGTATGTAAATCTTCTAGGGAGAGTAACTGAAAACGAAGGTGCGTGTGCGTGTGTGTGTGTGTGTGTGTGTGTGTGTGTGTGTACAGGCATATGCCATGACGTCCATGTAGAAGTCAGAAAGCAAACTTTTGGCAGTTGGTTCTCTCCATCATGTATGTGGGTACAAGATGTTGAAAGGCCGTCAGGCTTGGTAGGAAGCACCGCTAACTGACATCTGGCTTCCCTCCCCCATATTTTTTTAAACCACAATTACTTTGTAGCTGCTGTTAAGAATTCCTAAAAAAAAAAAAAAAAAAAAAAAGAAAAAAAAGATTTATTTATTTATTAATACAGTATTCTGCCTGAATGTGAGCCAGCAGGCCACAAGAGGGCACCAGACCTCATTATAGATGGTTGTGAGCCACCATGTGGTTGCTGGGAATTGAATGCAGGTCCTCAGGAAGAGCAGCCAGTGTTCTTAACCTCTGAGCCATCTCTCCAGCCCCCAGTACCTTTTTTATTTGTAAAACATAGGTTCTGGGGATCCAGCCTCATGTTTGCACAGGACAAAACATTGTCGGTTTTTGTTTGTTTGTTTGTTTGTTTTGGTGACCAGGTCTCAGCCTAGGCTGGATACCACCATGAACTTCTGATTCTCTTGCCTCCACCTCCTGAGCGCTGAGACTACAGCTGTGCGCCACCATGCCTGCTTTATATAGTGCTGGGGATGAGATCCAAGGCTTCCTGCATGCGAGGCAAAGCACTCTACCAGCTGAAGTGCATCCTATTCCCTGCCTGGGGGAATGTTGTTCTGTAGCCACTTAGAGTTGATTTGAACTCATGATCCTCCTGCCTCGGGCTCAAGAGTGCTGGATTGCAGGTATGTGCCATCGCCCTCAGCAGAAAACAGAACCTGAGAAGTCTTGTGGGCGTGTTCACTTCAATTATGTGTGCAAATGCATGTGTATGTGTGTGTGTGTGTGTACATATATATATATGTATATATGTATGTATTATGTATGTATATGTATAGGGGGTAGGGATTTCAGAGTTTTGCCTTCACCAAGCACCAAGCACTGAGCCACCAAGAGAACCCAGGAACAAAGTTGCAGCCCTTCACCCTTTGCAGTGAGAGCTTTTGCACCTTTAAAGATTAGTAACTTAGGCAACATGGCTTCCCAGTTTTGTGGGGGGCCAGCAACTGCTTCTCCTCCTGCTCCAGGCCTCTGGGGAGGTCTGCACTGCCCAAGTTCAAATCCTGGCAAGATCACTTCCTAACTGCGATCTTGAGAGATCCCAAGGTCTCTGAGGTTCCCTTTTCCTGCATGTAGAGTGGGAACAATAGTTCACGGTCAGGTGTGGTCTCAGGGTGAGGGTGAGTGTGCCGTGAGTCAGTGCACACGGCAAGCTGGGACCAGCGCCTGGCATTAGGTCTTACCACAGAGAGTATCAGTGGCTCTGATCAGGGAGAGTGAGTCACTGGCTCACTCTGCAGGCAGCTGGATGGACGGTTCACCCATTTATTCATTCGCTTATTAGACAGGTATCTATTACGAACCCAGACCACGCTCACGGTTTAGCAGTGAACGAAACACAAGACCTGCCTGTGTGGAGGCGACCCTCACAGCACTTCCTTCAAGAGCAGCTTCCAGCAGGACTCACAACCCCTCCCCCCCCGACCCTAGCTTGTCCCTCTGTGGAGTGGGGAGCTGTCTCAGTCTTCTATGTCTCTAAGCATGAAGGTTGGAGCAGGGGTCTGAACTCCTGAGTCATTGTCCTGTCATCCTTGCCTGCCTCCTACAGAGAGGCAGCTCACAGTGGCCCAGAGCAACCAAGAAAGGGTTGAAAATTCTCAAAAGCCCCTCTGTACCTGTGATGGTGAGAAGGTTCTACCATTCACTCCCAGACACCAAGGATGAAAAAACTCAGGTATTAACAGTGTGACCGCAAGGGGGCACCATCCCAGGCCCAGTCTTAAATATAAACTTTATGTTTTCAAAACAGGATTTCTCTGTCTCTGGCTGGAGACCAAGATGGCCTCAAACTCCGACATCCACCTGCTCTGCCTCCTGAGTGCTGGGAGATTAAAGGCATGTGCACTACTGCAGAGCCAAAAAAGAAACGTTTTAATTATGGCATGGTGTAGATCAATATGTAACAAACATTCATGAAAAACTGGTCACCTAAAATGAGCAACATGTATTAACATGATCATGTGTTCAGGGCTGGAGAGGTGGCTCAGTAGTTAAGAGAACTGGCTGCTCTTGGAGAGGACCCAGGTTCAGTTCCCAGCACCCACATGGTGGCTGAAAACAGTCTGTCAGAGCTCGGACACCCTCTTCTGGCCTTCCTAGGTACTACATTAGGTGGTGCACATATATTCCTACAGGCAAAACAGCCACACAAATAAAAGAAAAATAAGCAAGCGAGTTAACAAACAAACAAATAAAACAATTGTGTCTTCTTTGTCAAATGTGAAGAACATAACCCATCAGAGAAAAGAAAAACCAAAGCAAGGGACATAGTCTATCTCCCTGCTTATGCAGCTAAAACTTGTCGGGTTCCTCTTCTGCTACCTGATTTCACAGCATGGAGAACCGAAGGGCCTTTTGCAGCCAGGCACGGTGGTCATGCCTGTCATCCAACACTCAGAAAACTGAGCAGGACGATGGAAACTCTGAGGCTAGCCTGGGCTATAGAGTGAGGCTCTGCCTCAAAAACCAAGCAAGTGAGCAAGTGAACAAACAAACAAAACACACACAAACGAAACCCATGCAGAGTCGAAGGTGCCTGCAGTGAAGCCTGATGAGCTGTGCTTGGGCTCCGTGCCTGGGTCCCACATGGTAGAAGAGAACTCTGCCCTCTTCTACACACATATACATAGGCACACACTACACCACACACACTCGCTCACACCCACATAATAAAATTCCCAAGCAAAGCAAACCCTTTGCTAGGGGCTGGAGAGCTGGCTCAGTGGTTAAGAACACTGGCTGCTCTTTGCAGAGGACCTGCCTTTGATTCCCAGCCCCCACTTGGCAGCTCACAGCCCTTTGTAACTCCAGTCCCAGAACATCCCTTGACCTCTTCTGGCCTCTACATGCAGGCAAACAATCATAGGCACCGTGGGGTGAGGGTATGGGGTCGGGGAGAAAAGTAGAGAAAGTAAAAGGAACCTTTGCCAGCTTTTCAGATCAAGTAACGGATCGTGATTACAAACCCAGATTCCTGAGCTCCGAATGTATCTACCGCTGCTCAGGTTAGGCATCCCTGGGCTACGAGAGGCACCTCAGGCTGGAACCCCAATGGGGGAACGCAGAAGCCAACAGCTACCATCGACACAGCACGCACGGTCAAGCCGTCAGATCACACCGTCTTCCTTTAATCTCCCTGGACACCACGTGACTCAGACACGGCATTCCGCTAACTGCGGCTGAAGAGAAAAAGGGGTTGAAGGATCAGGTGCTGCTGGCCCGAATGTGCAGAGCGACTGAGCGACTGAGAGTCTCTGACTCTCCACCCGGGGGTACCATTCTGTTCCCCAGGCCATGCAGTATGGAGTGGGGGATGGGGACAGGCCTTCGCCTGCTGCCCGCCGGCTCCACCCACCTGTGGGCTCTGAGTTCCATAGCGGCTAAGGGGTGAGTGGGTACCTTCGCTCTGAGAGTTTGGGCAGGAGGCGGCATGACCACCTGCGTTGGGCTCCTTCTGCCTTGCACACCTGGCGGATTTCAGCTCCACTTCCCACTTGACTGCTTGGTGCTGGTGACCTCCACAGAGGCTCTTTTGACCTCTCTGAGCCTCAGCTTAACACCTTCTCTTTGGCATTGTGGTTTGGGTAGGAGTCGGAGCTGAGTTATTTCGGGACAAACAGAGGCCATGAACGTAATGAGCCCTTCTAAGTGGGAGGTATTTCTATTTCGGAAAAGACACCCACCAGCTTCT